TCTTTGCACACCCCGTTGTAAGCTCCTTTGACGTCAAAGCTCACCAGACTAAGGATCCATCGACCTCGCCAGGCGGCGTAGATCTGCTCTTGCAGCAGCATTAATGCCTGCTCAGCGGAACGTTGTTTACGAGCTCCAAAGTGATTTGTTGGCAGTAATCCGTGTGTTTCAACAGCATGCGAGATCCTTTCTGCGACGACCGCCTCTAGTATTTTGCCCAAGGTAGATAGAAGCGAGATGGGCCTCCATGCCTTCGCGCTCGAATAGTTTTCCTTGTTTGGTTTCTTCAGAGGAATGATCTTGGCATGTCTCCATTGATCCGGCAGCACTCCATCTTCCAGCGAAGCACGAAAAAGCGAGAAGACTCGGTGCTTGACAGAAGGCCAGATCTGTTTCCAGACTGCGACGGGTAGCCCATCTTCGCCGGGTGCTTTCCATGATTTCGCCGCGACAAGCTGTCGCTCTACCTCCTCCATAGTGATATTTGGCATGACGACAGCAGATCCGCACTGGGGTCGATCTCCTTCTTCTTCGATATGCTGCGGTAATGGAGGAAAGAAGGTTGCTAACATTTCCTCGGCCTGTTCGATGTTGTTGTTCGTGCGTGTGCCGTCGACCCTCGTGAGTTGGGGTACTTTTCCAAATGCTGTATCATCTCCAGACTTGAGATACTTTGCTGCCTTCCATATGTTGGCGTTATCGGCTAAAAACTCGTTCCAATGCGTCTTTTTCTGCTGCCTGATGGCATCATGGTACTGCTTTGCTGCTCCTCTCGCCGTGTCCTCAAGCTCCTCGCATGCTCGTCCCGCGCGTCTCGATGCTCTGGCACGGTTCCTCCAGTGTGTGTACATCTGCCGAAGTTGCGTGAGGTCTGAGGTCCACCAACGCTTTGCGTATGGTGACGGCTTAGCTCTGGGTGTTAGCGCGCGGACTGCGGGGAAAGCGACAAGCTGACGCTGCAAGTGGTGGTGACACTAGCGCAAAACAAAGGTACCAGGCACAGTGCCCTGACAGTGCACGCACGGATGGTTCGCGGGAGCTAGGGCCACATGATAATGCTTGTTCAATGGGGACTTGGCATGTGGGGTGATAGTGCGCTGATTGACGTGTGTCTCAGGGATTTGTTGCCAGTGCGTTTGGGGCGATGGCACTAAATCGTAGACCCCAGCAGCCCTGTCTCTTTAAATTACTCGCCCTAACGGTACGTAGCTGTGCTAATGTGAGAATGTCTTGCCTCGATGGGGTCAAGGTGCATACGGGCAGACAGGGTCATGGATGCATCTGGCCAACCCTGTCAAAATCGCAAGGGATCTTACAGGCCGTCCCCACAGCTAGATGCATACGCGGCTAGTCATCGGATTTGCTTTTGCTAGGGATCTCGGGTCGCTAATGCATTCCCACCTTAAAATCAACATTGATCCCTTGCTGGTCCTGCGGCTGCCTTGACGGCTTGAAATTGTTTCTTGTCTCCTCATTTCTTGCCTTGTTGTAACGTGCACTTTCACAAAATTTGACTTTTCATTCCCCTAGCGAACCAATTGCCACCAACACATCTGGTGCAGAGTCATTGGACGAGCGAAAAACATACCCGATTCTCTTTCCGAGGGCTAAATCAGCCTAACCTGTGGTCTCTGCCGAGGTCCACACTTGCCATTACTTCTTACCATGCTTAAAAGAAACAGAGGAACCGAGCAGCCAGGGACCGCAAAGCGCATCAAATGCGAACCAAGAAAAGACCCAAACTGCGACGCAGACGTGGTATGCTATCCGATAACCCCTAATAGTGAGGGCGAAAATACGGATGCCCTATTGTGTTTGCTTCAGGCAGATACTGTCAACAGCTGCGGCACCCGCTCCTGGGTCCCTCAATCTCCAGGTAAGGCTGTGAAGATCACCTCCCTCTCATGTTTTCTTGTCCTTTTCTCGTTTCCACATTCACTCTTTCCATGCCTATTGTGTCCATATTGGGGACTCAAGGGGCCGAAACGTTTCTTTCGGAGGACATGTGGGTTCAGAATACACTGAACTCATCTTCTTCCCCCTCTTGATTGACACTCATCGTCTCATCCATCGTGGTCTCCGATTCTTGAGCTGACGTTCCGTGTAGACCCCCAACTTCCAAAGGCCATAGCCTCTCGACCTCGACCTCAACCTCAACCTCAACCTCTTCCTCCTCCTCCTCCTCAACCGCCTCGTCTCTTACCCGCGGCCCCAGATGCTCTCCCAGGGCGGGCTGTCGAGTCGCAAGACTCCAAGAAGAGAGGCGGGGAAGCAGTAGAGGGACTCGTTGTTAGTCCTTTCACTGTGGATGAAGATCGATTGATTGTGTCTGCTTTCCCTCGCTATAATCGCCCAAAGAATGGACAAGTGAACGGGTATGTCAAGTTCCACTGGCCTTCGCAAGGTCCATGGAGACGACCGTCTGAACCCGTACCACTGCCATCGGAGGATGATGTGGAAGACATAACGGCAAACATAACGCGATCACACCATCCGGATCGCAGGCCCAGCGTGTCAACACTGGCTGTGACTTGGCATGTGATACCTCCAGCGCCAGTTGGGACTGTTTCCCTGAGTAGTATTGAAGGGTGTCGGGCAAGAGCTTCATCGCCAATATTGATGACAGGCCTGCCAGTTTCCTCTCAAGTCGCTTCACTGACCCGGACGACGAGGGAACCGAGAATGCTACCACCTCAATTCGGATTCCAAGCCAAAATGGATAATATTGACAGACGGTTATTTGAGTTCTGTATGTTCTTTTTGCCGGCGCCCTGGGGTTTCACGAGGCGTTTGCTGATTACCCTTTGACAGATATTAAGAACTGGTGCCCAGGAAGGAGTGTGCTGAGGGACACAAACTTGTGGTTGAAGGACCTGGCCCCGATGCACGGGAACGAAGGCATCCTTCACGCCATTCAGAGCCTGTCGGGCATCTACATCTATGATTATCTGCCACAGGAGCGTATTCGGCAGCGAATCAATCAGCGATATGACATGGCCAATCAATATTACTGTACACTCCTCCACGCACCTGAGAGCAGGGAAATCGGGAAAGGGCAGGAAGCTATCACTATGACTGTGCTTCTTTCGATGCTAGACGTACGTATGATTGTGTTACCTTTCTTGCTATTGTCATGCCGTGTTTCGTCGTAACGCTGACTGATATTTAGATTGTCCTCACGGAACGACGACTCAAGAAGCCATACAATCCGCGATGGCTGGAAGGATTCAGGCAAGGCGAATACTTTCTGCAGGCAACTGACCCTGGCGCTCGCTACTGGAAAAACAACAACGTCCAGTACAACGAACTCCGCATCTCTCAATCAATCATCGTTGGCCGGGCAGTGATTCTCGCTCAACCTATGATGGCCCTTCCATCACCGCAGACTTTTAACCCCGAGGCTGAAGCAGGCAGGTTCAGCTGGCTACTCTACGGAACAGAGAAGGATATGTTTGAAATCCATGGAGGATGTGGCTTTTCGAAGAAACTGTTGCACCTCATGAGCCAAGTAACATATTGTGCAGGTCGATTGCAGCAAGAGCCCGAATCCACCATCGTTCCAATCACGGCCAAATTTCTTTTGCGTGAACTATCAGAAATGCGCCAATGGAGCCGTGAGGACAAAGACTGGGAGTTGGCTCGAAAGTACCCACCAACGATAGACTGGGTGCGCGACAAAGC